GCCCCAAGCTCCTCCATCTGTCGCAGGCATTTATTGTTGGCTAACACCCTCAGGGCCCTTGGCACCTAGCTCAAGAAACACAAGGTGATTTTAAATATTTGAGGAAAACCAGGAAAGAATACATCTATTAAGCACTGACCATGTGCCAGATGTTTTTATGCATCAGCCACCATTCAGATGAGAAAACCTGGGCTCAGAGAGGCTAAGTAACTTGAAAAAGATCACAGAGTAATAAGCAGGGGAGGATGTGAATGAGGGTGAATTTTAACACAGCAGGAAGGGTTCAGAGAATGCTAAATACTCTTGGCAGTGGCAGTGTCCAACACTCAGCACAGGAGCAGCCTCTCCAGAGGGCCCTGCAGGCCACAGGAACAGGAATCAGCAAGCTAGTGGCACCAGCGCTTGGACTTGAGCTGAAAGTTGCAGGCACCACAACACACTGGGCCACTGACCACTGTTGGCTGACGCTCCTGGGGCCTCTGCCACCCTAGCCGCAGAGCACGGGCACCTCCCCTATCCCCCCACGGGAGCTTCAGAGAGGCTACATGTGGGAAGGTTTCACAGAAAGGGAGAGGAGATTTGAAAGAAAATTGCTAAAAGGAAACACATGTGAAAATGAAAATTCAGGCAAAGTGTGAGGAGGAGTGAAGGAAAGAAAAGATATTCAAGGATTAGAAACTGGGTCAGGAAACTGCTGCATAATACCACAGTTTCCTTCTGCTACCCTGGGAAGGTCAGTGACTTCCTCTCTCCTCTCATTCTCTCTCTTAACTCAGGTGGAGTGGGGCAGTGTGACCTTAGATGATACCCAGTAGAGAGAAAGAGGGAAAAGGGCCTTGCAACAATCATGATGACTATGGAGCTGTGGTCCAAGGAGGAAAAACCTGAGGCTCAGAGAAGTTGTTCTAGTTTCCCAAGGTCACACAGCTAATGAGCTGTAAAGCTGGAACCTGCCTCATGTCCAAGCTCATTCCCTTGGACCACATCATAGTGCCCCTCACAGATTTCTCCTACCACTACAGGGTGGCTCTCCTCCCTTCCTCAAAGAAACTGGGCAAATTATAGAAACTCTCTAGAGGTTACCTAGTTTCTATGTTTTATTAAATCCAAGATGCCTTTGATTTTAACAAGTACACAATGAAAGAGATGGCACTGTCAATCATAACACACCATGAATGTACAACACATAACCACTTGAGACATTGAAATATGAAAAAGTGTGTCTCAGGATCTATAATAGTGTGGGTTTAAGTGGGGAAATGAGAATTCAGTCCCAGCTCCTTAGACTGTGTGTGCCCTGAAGGGTAGACGATTCCATGAGTACATGTGTGCATGCATACACACCTGCTGCTGCAAGATCCCTCTTGGCTGATAACTGATGCAATTTCACAGATAATCACACAAAAATGTACTGGCCAGATCTGCCTTGTCAACAAAATCCCTCCTTTCACCAGGAGGCCATCAACCAAAGGTCACCCCACACTGTCAGGCAGAGGCTGTCCTGACCACCACCCACCTGCCAGCCCGGGCAGCTTCACCTCAGTAGCGCTACAGACCTCTGAGCAGCCAAGCTAGCCAAACAGGTAGGTCTGCTCCTTGGACATCTACCAAAGGTGCTCACCAAGCGTGGCCGGATGACTGCACGGCCTGAACCTTCCTGTCTGGTGCCAGTTCTCCTGGGCCCTGCAGCTATCCAGAGCCACAGAGCTTCAATAAAGCAGATACTGTGGGCTGGCAGAGGCAGATGGGAGGTACTGCTCCAAGCCAGCCTTTAGGCTGGGCAGAGGACAGCAGGCAGGCCCTAGATGGGGCTGAAGGACAGGTGGGCAGAGGGGCAGCCCCCATCTCTTTGGTAGACAGGCCATGAGCTGGCAGGGCAGGCAGCCTCTGGGAGGAAGGACCAGGTGCAGCTCCACACCAAGCCCCAGGGAGGTGGCTGTCACCTCAGAACATGCTCTGCATCTCATTTACAGACTGCCAGCAGGCGCCAGTCACTTCGCTCTGGCCCTGAGCCTGCATCTGCAGAGGCTGAGTTCGTTTATGGAAAGACAAGCTGAGAATGTGGAGTTTTGCTTCTCCTGTGAAGGCCCTCAGGTAGTGAGGTTTCTCCCCTGCCGCCTTCCTGTTGCACACCGACATCCCCAGAGAGAAATCTTAGGTGCTAAGGTTACCAGTCCCAAGAATCAAACCAGTAGAAGCTTGTGAAAACTAAAGGTAACAGCTCACTCTTATGGCTGGCATTGTTTTAAGTGCTTTTCATACATTTACATATTTGATCCACATAACAACCTTATGAGGGAGGTACTAGCATCATCCTTGTTTTACAGATGAAGAAACTGAGGCACAGAGAGTAAATAATTTGCCTGAGATTCCACAAGCAGCAACTGGCAGAGCCAGGTACACGGTGTGACTCTGGGGTCCAAGCTCTTGGGTGCCGGGCTATCCTGTGTCTCTAGCTACCTAACCATCCAGAACAGGTGCCAACCGAGCAAGCGTCAGATCCCACTCTGGGTATTTTAGGTCACAGCGGCTCATTTTTTCTTCACTTGTCACCCTATGAGGTAGATACTACTATCAACCCCATTCTACAGGTGGGAAAACTGAGGCTCAGGCAGGTGAAGCAGCTTGCCCAAAGTCCCACCATGAGCAAGCAGCAGAGCTGGGATCTAAACCCGGTGCTTTCTGGCCCCAAACATCGGGTGACTGAGAATGAGATGAAGGCACCTGTGTTCTGAGGTGGGTACCTCTCCCACAAAAACCAGCGAGCAGGAAGGAGAAACTTGCCCCTGTCCTAAGAGGGAGACTTGAGTCTGGTGCAAAGGGCAGACCTCCCTGGTAGCTCTCTTGTCAAGTCCACTGCAGACAGCACCAGCTACTTGGAACCGGGGGTCCCTTTTCATGGTTTTAGGCTGTGGAGCGCAAGAAGGGCAGGGTGATAAGAGATGACTCACTGGTGTGAGTGCTGCCACCCACTCTCCCACACTCGAGTTCTGTTTAGGCCTTCCTCTTTTTGATCCCTTAAAAAAAAAATGCTCCCACGAGCAATCACAGATATAAGTGCTACAGAGTCTTGTTTTCATTTGATTCATGTTTACATTGTTGGAAAAGAAACCCCTTGTCTGAGAAGATGAAGCAGACTGAATCAATTAAGAATATGCCCAACAGTCAGAGAACTTCCCATTTCTTGAAGGAAGTTAAGGAGAGGGGTTAAAAACACTGGTGTTACTAGTACCAGCTGCCAGATGGAGCTGGAGCCAGAGGCCTCCCCATCCCCCAGCTCTGGGCCACCACACTGCCTCCTCAGACTGCTATGCAACCCTCCAAGGATGTGCACACCTCTGGTTGTCCACTTTCTCCTTCCTCTTTACACACACACATGCATGCACGGACCCACATGCGCCCTGCTCTCCGTGAGGGCCTAGGCTGGCCAACGTTAGACCCAAAGCTGCTGCCCTGGTGCATGAGTACCTGTGCTGGGCTTCTCAGGACACCAGGTACAGAACTGTGCTGCTCACTGCCCATGGATGGAGGGAGCAAAGGGGAAGGGCCGGGCACCCTGGGGTCCAGCGAGGTCAGGAGTCCTCGGAGGGGCTGGTCTGTGTGCAGACAGGCACAGGCCGCCAGCTGCTTTGGGGGTCTTGAGCACAGGACTTGCTGCGTCCCTGACAGCACTGGCCTGTGGGGACAGGGAGACAGCCCGGCAGTGCTCTCTGCCTGCTGAGATGCAGCTGTGTGCATGCCACCAGGGTGGTTTCTGCTGGTATTGATTTGTGTGGTGGAAATAAGAGACTGACAAGAACTGCTTCCACATTCACACACAGGCTTACCTGACCCAACCCGGGTGTGAGGGCAGGAAAGTCTATGACAGCAGCAGCCATACACACACATCTCCCCAAGAAACACCTTCAACAGCAAGGGTTTGGAGCGGACAGAGCAGTGAAGTGAATTTTGTGCCGGTGGATTTTTAGTCCCAACTGTGCTGTTAGTCTCCTCCCTTTCTCCCCCTGGGATTCTGGGCTGCCACTTGTTAGCGTCTGCACCCCCCACCCATCTCTCTGAACTTGCCCTTCATTTCATCTGGTTTACTCTCCAATCACAGCTGGCCATGCTTCCCTAGCCACAGCCCCACCTTGGAGCCTTAGGAGTTGCTGCCCCCTCTGCCTGAACCTCTTTTGTCAAGACGCCACTTTCTCAGCCAGGACTTCCCTGCCCACTATTTAGAAACACCCCACATTGCCCAGCACCGCCCCACTCCCCTGGTATCTCACACTCTGCCTGCCGGAGCTGTTCATCTGCCCCTCTGCCATCAAGCGAGCTCCATGAAGGCAGGGATTGTCAGTTATGTTCACTGCTGTATCTCCAGTGCCCAGCTCAAATTAGACACTCAAATGTATTTTAAGTGATGGTAAGGAAGGTAGTTGAATTAATGAATTGCCTACACTAGGCAATGTGCTGGGCGGGGGCTGGGCAAACGGGGAAGGATCTGTGCTCTGGAATGCCATCTGATGGAGAATGAGATCCCACATCCCGAAGAGATGATCACACAATGCCCACTAAGATGCAAGGTGGGCTGCCACATCAACATGCCTTATACCCAGCTGGCCATGGGAAAGGACTACCGATCAACCCAGCTGGGAGACTGGGCAGCAGGAGAGATCCTTCTCATTCAAAAGGCCAGTGATTTGGTACCATCAAGGCCCAGTTACTGAGTCAAGAGCCTCCCTGGTACAGGCTGTTCCAGGCCCCCGAATTGCTTCTCCTTTTCTTCCCTCACTTGACTAGAAGTCCTTTCCATGGACAAGGCTCCAGGCAGTCTCTCCCATTGGTCTTTCTTGGGGCAAAGGTCAAGGCTCCCAGACTGCTTACCTAGCCCTAGGCAGTCTTATCTCTCACACTGGCCTTAGTCCATCCACCCCACCTCCTCCACCAAAGCCCAGCCTCCCCGCTCCGCCCACCCCATTACAAAGCTGTTCCCCAGCAGGCATTTGCCCAAGCATGCTGCCTGCTACTCAAGTCTCAAGAGCTTCTCCAGGCCACACACCATGGTGAAGTCGCAGAGACCCCACAGAAAAAAACCCCATCAACTTGCCTAAGGGCTCAGGGAAGTTGGGCAGGAAGCAATCAGACCCAGGTTCCTCGAATAAGAGCACCCGTGCACATCATCAGCGTTGCATGAACGTCGGCTCAGCAGGGTAAGGTTTGGGCCAGTCTGGGTGAGCTGGTGCCTGGCAGGTGGCAAGACCTCAGACCATGGCAGTGACTCAAGGACTCCACCAAGGCTGAATTAGATGGTTACAGGGAGGGAGGGAGGGAGACAGGGATCCCTACTGCGAAGGTCTTATATGCACGCATCTGATAAGCTTCCCCTTTGAGATTGCTTTCCCTAACCTGGCAATCACTGGAACCACATTCCACCAGAGGAAGGCCCTGGGGATGCCCTAAGGGATGTGCCTGCTCCACTCCCTTCCCAGGAACCTAAGCGATTAGCACCCAGGGGAGGACAGAGATATGGGGGATCTGCAGGAGCCAGACCAGGGATTTGCCAAGCCAAGAAGTGTAGCCTGAGTTCAAGAACCCAGCCCCCTCACACTCCTTTGAGGAGGCAGCCTATAAATAAGTCAGTCAAGGAACACTGGCACTCCCTCGGGCCGAGTGAAGTGTCACATCCAGCAATCTGTGGGAAAGCAGGGCTGGGGAGAATAAATGGGGAAGAAGAAGACTGGACGGCGTGCAGGGATGGGAAGGATAAAGTCCGCGGCTGAGGAGGGGCCGGCTTCGCGTAGCACAGACGAGGTTCCCCGAAGGCTGCTCCGCTGAGACCTCACAGACGCCGGTCGCCCGAAGAGACGCGGCTCCAACAGCAACTACTACCGGGCGTAGCAGCCGGCTCGGGGGCCCAGGGGACGAAGCGCCGGGCGTGAACCCACACACACCTCCGGCCTCGGCATGACCTCGGCTGGGAAGGCGCAGGGCCCTGTCCCCAAACCCCGAACCAGGCTGGCCCTCCCTGTTGCCCCTAGGAGAGACGAGAGAAGCCCGGGAACGAACTCGGTGCAGCCGCCAAGGGCTACGGAAAAACTTCGCGGGCGCACATCCCCCTTCGGGCCTCAGCGGGGCCAGGGGCGGGGAACTAGGGCAACACCGTTCCCGAGCTGCAGGTGCGCGAGGTGCGGAGGTGGGACGCCGGGGCGCGGGATCCCCAAGGGAGACTCCCGGGCGAACGAGTCCCCTTCCCGGCCCACTAGATACCCCTTAAAAACAGTTTGCGCCGAAGAGGGAAGCGGCCACCCTCCCCAGTCCTGCCCACCCTCGCACTTGGGTGCAGGCAGAGGGCCCGGAGAGGGCAGCGAGGACAGCAGGGGCACAGCGGCTTCTCCTCCGTGGCCCAGAGCCGGCACGCAGGTAACCGGAACCCCGGCCGGCACCCAGAGACACGCCCGGAGCGGGTGCCAGCGCCCGGGCTGCGGCGAAGTTCCGCGCTCCGTCAACTTCCCTGGCCCCTGGGCCGCAGGGCCGGGCCAGGTACGGTCGCCGGAGCCCCGCGAGCCCAAGCCCCTCGGCTGCCGCTTACCTGGCGCCCGGGGGCCGGCAGGGTACGCATCCGTGGCGGGCCGCGTCTGCAGCTCGCGCGGCTCCGCACCGGTTGAAGGCGGCGGCCCCACCCCCACCCGCGCCCGTTGCCGGGAGACCCGCGTGGGCCGAAGGGCTCTTTGTATCAAAGCTGCCGTGACATCACGTGGCGCCCGGGTTCGGGGATCGAAGGGGCGGGGCCTTGCGCCGGGGGCGGAGCCGGAGGAGGAGGAGGAATAGCTGCCGGGGAACCCGAGCCGCCGGGGACGGGACCCAGGTAACCCCGCCCCTAAGGTAGGCAGGTGGGGCAGCACTGACCAATGGCCGCACGGCTGGGGGCGGGCCCAGGCGAACCCCTCCACGGGGCGCCTCCGGAGGCGGAGCTCCCGTGGGCCAGCCCTTTCCCGCTCCACCAGGTTGTATCCGTCCGGGTTTGTGCCCCCGGAACCCAGGATTCTGAAAAACCGGGCTAATGAGCCCACGCGTCTGCCTGGCAGGCTCTGTGGCCGGCGCTGCCCGTCCGAGGTCACTCTCACCATTGGTCGTCACCGCACTGCGAGAGCTTCCAGGCTTACCTTTGGGCACTGAACCAAGACCTGCCAACCCCCTAACCCTCGTGCATCGCCACCACCAGCAGCCCGAGTCTGGAGCCTCCTAAGTTAATTCTGATTCGGCATCCCACCCACAGCTTTCCCAATCTTCGTGTAAAGTCAAAGCTGTCTTTATATCCAACCCAGGAGTACCAAAAACAGAGTGACAACAAGAGATTTAAAAAACAAAAACAAAAGGTGGGTGGAGGACCCCTCTGTTGAATCCTGGTAAATATAATTTAAGTAAAAAGTGAGCCACTCATAACTCTTCACTGCGTTCTTAATTAAAAGGCAAATATATAAGTAGCAAATGCTGCAAATGTGGTTTGCCTCTGACTTGATGCTGCACTGTGTAACTGGGGGATCAGATTTATCTTCATAGTTATCTGACTCAGGCCAACCTGAGGCCACCTTTGCCTTCCTTGAGTCCTCATTGACCAACATGGTGGCACTCTGGAATGCACAAGGCCCGTTGCGCAGCTGGGTCCTTTGGTCCAGCACCAGCACACACACTCTCTCACACATCTTTTCTGCCCCCTTCTCTCTGGCTTTGTGCTCTCAACTTCCTTCTCCCCAATATCTCTCCTGCAAATAAATTCCCAGCTGCTCCTCTGTTAACCAGCACCTGTTTCTGAGGCAAAACCCACTGGGGCTCCCAGATCTACTGGAGACTCTCCAAATGGGATAGCATTAGATAGAGGGGGACCTCCTGACAAGGGCTCCAGGCGAGAGGAGGCTGGAGCAGTAGGGTGAGATGGGAGCTCCACCACAGTTGGCCCTCTCTGTGCTTATGCCTTGCCATTCAGATATGTGCTGAAGCCACAGACTTACTCTCACCCTTGTCTGTGGCTATCTCCACAGTCTCTATGCACAGGAGTACTGTGATGGATCATACAGAGCACGGGTTTGGGCATCAAACGGGCCTGGGATGAATCCTTTCTGCCAGCTCTGAGTCCTGGGACAAGTTACGTATCCTCCTTGAAACTCAGTGTTTTCATCTGTAAAGTGGGAATGGCACAGTCTACCTCATGGGCTGTTGTGCACCTGGCATAGGGTGTGCACTTAATTTTAAGCAATCATCAAAGGTGTGGCACGTGAATGAGCCCATGCACTCTAGGTCTGCTCTGCCTTCCTATCTCCACCCAGAGAGACCTTAGCTCAGCTACCCATGAGGTTTCAGGGTGTGGCTGAATCCAGGGGTTCTATTTTGGTTTCCCCCCTTCCTTTCCAAGTCTTATGTTGCCCCTAAGGACCCTGGAGATCCAGAAAGCAGGTCACATGACAGGATCACCCAGAACTGGGGAAGGGAAACACATACCTAAGGTGATCATTGACCCGCAAAGGTCATTAGAGAAAGTCAAACTGTCAAGTTCCCTTCCTGTGCTTACCAGTGACAGCCTGATGGAAATTTTCTTGAGCTCTATGGAGGAGTTGGTGCTAGTGGTCCCTCTTTATTTTTCCCAACGGTGGGAGAGCACCTCCAGGTATTTGTCCTGAAAACTAGCATGACAGAGGGGACAGTCACAGATACTATCATTAAGCACTTCCGAATTTGAAGCCTGCCCAGTTCTACCACTGAACATGGGGAAGTCATTTTATGTTTCAGAGTCTCAGTTCCCATATTTATAAAATGGAAACAAGACCTTTCCTCTTCCAGCTGTGAGGTTTAAATGAGACAATGAAATAAGTGTCCAGGCCAATGCCTCCTATAGCGGGCAAGTAATAAAGAGGAGCTCCTACTTGTTACTGGCAGAGTAAACCAGGCCAGGTACGATTCACTCATTAGGTGCGTGAGCTCCAGGGCTGGAGCTGGGGCTCACAGCTTGGCTTCACCACCTTATAGCTGGATGACCCCAGGCACGTTTAATTCCCAGTGTCTCAATTTCCTCATCTGTAAGTTGGAGAGAATAGTATAAACTTTAGGATTATCATGAGGATCAAATTCATCAGGACCCAAAAAATACTGAGAATAGGACCTGGCACATACCAGTGCTTAATAAACAGTACCCATTCTCAATTGCCATATAGCAGGAGGCTGGAAAGAACCGATGTGAGGAGTAGAACCTGAAGAAGTTTGTGGGAGAATTTAGGACAGACACTGACTTTCAGAAGAAGCCTGGTATCTTCCACAGGGTTCTGGGAAGCAGTGATAGTTTGCGTGTTGGGGGGTGGGGGTGTTGGGGGTGGACAGGTAGAAGGCTGACCATCTGAAATGGAATTGTGGGAACTTAGGGCTCCAGCCCAGGCTAGGGCTCCCAGAGGACTCGGTATTCTCTGTTCAAGTGGGGCTGAGAGTTTTAGGAAATAGTATTGCCTTATGGGCACAGCCCCACCTATGAGCCTGAGGGCAAGGGGGGTCTTGAGTTAGCTACTCTGATGGCTTAGCATAGCTGTGTTTTAGATGTCAAAGAATCAAACTATTTTAAAATGAGAAGACCCTCTCGACAAGTGTTTAATGTATTTCCCCCCCATTTTACAGATGGGAAGACAGAGGCTCAGAGAAGGCTGGGAATTTGTCCAAAGCTACACAGTGAGGTATCAGACAAGAAGGAACTGAAGCTCAGACTCCTACCAGTGTAGGGACTCTCCTGCCTGCTCCACGAGGAGCTTTGCTGACGGGGTAAGACATGCAGGGATGGGGAGTGGCAGGGAGCTTACTCCTTCACAGTGGCCCAGCACTATGAGTCTCCGAAGGGATGTGACTTGCCTTTTCAGGAGAAAGAACAATCTCATGAAAAACAGAAACCCACTGCCAGGAAATGCAGCTAGGATAATTTTCAGATGGGCAAGTTACTCTGATTAATTCTTTTTATGTCATGAAACCGATTCTACCACAGTTGATATGAGAATACTCCCAACACTTTGAATGCCAAAGTCACAGAGAAGCACACACAATGCTGACAAGCAGGGGTTGCCATTCTCCAGAGAGTGGCAGGGGCAGAAAACACCTGGTCATTTGGGTGGGCCAGCTGAGGGAATAGAGTAGTAAGTTCTCTCTGTACCACAGGTATCTACCTATGTCTACTTTCCTTCTACTGTTACCTTATAGGAGTTAGCTCAACATCAGATAGTATAAAGAAGCAATGTTTGCACATGTTTGGGACCATACGGATAGACAGACTAATCATACATATATGGCATCACTATAATAGGAAATGAGCTCTCTGAGCACTACCCAGTGTTAACATTAGCCAAGCAACTGATGCCAACCAACATTAGCCAAATGAACAAACAGAAGACAGCTATGCAAATAACACCAGAGCTGCGGAAAAGGGCATCAGGTCCAGTTGTTTTCAAACTGGGTTCCTTGGGACCCTAAGGGTTCTGTGGACACCCTGCAAAAGGAAGGGGGTGCTCCAGGTAAACAGAATAGCTGTACTTCTGTCTGCATGATATATTGACTTACTCTCTTGCCTGAGGGTTTCAGCCCCAGGGCAAATTTACTATAGATTCAGTGAGAAATGACAGTGGAACATTTAAAAAGGTTAAAAAGGGTAAAAGAGTTTATACCTGGTTTTATTCTCACAGTGGTAGGTCAAGCATTAGAATCACATCCGCATCCAGCAGTCTGCAGGTCTGTAATCCACCTCTGTCTCCATCCCGCCCAGAGCCAGAGCTCTTTATACAGTGATTCAGTCACTATTATTGCCTACGGGTGGGGAGCAGTAGCCTAGCAGTAGGCCAATTACATCATCATGCAGTTTAGGGTCCAGTAAGAATCCTGGCCATAGGAACTTCCATTTTCCCCACACTTACACATGAGATTTCATGTGAACAAAGGGTTCTGTTGCTTTAAAAGTGTTCAAATCACTAGTCTAGTACAACCACTCATTTTCCAAGCAGGGAAATGAACCCCAAAGGTGGGAAATAGCTTCTCCCCTCACATTTGTAAAGTTAGCAGCAGAGCTGGGATTAAAGCCAGGTCTCATGACTCTCTTTCTAATGCTAAGACAGACATCAGTCATCAACCAGGGCTGTCAACAACAGCTAAACCTGGTCACCCACTGGACATTATATCTGCCCAAACAGTATCCCCAGGAGCTGCTGTTTGTGTGGAAAAGCCCTCCATGTAGCCAGCTCAGACTTTACTGCAAACCTATAACCTCTCACCTACACTTTAGAGGTCCCTCGACTCCACAGTCAGAAAGAGTCAGCCCGGACTGTTATGTCTCAGCTTTCCATTTCAGGGGCCAAATTCTACCTCTGATTACTTAAGTAGTGGCTTTGGAAAGGGAAATAGGTACTAAGGAAGTTGGCAGGACCCTGGGATTGCAGAGGCGTCTGGACCTCGAGGGAAAGTTATTCCCAATCTCCCACTTAGGAGAAACAGGAGCTACACCTGAGTCCCAGAGGCCTTCAGCTCCAGCAGGGGCTTGTCCAGGGGGCCTGCACTGTACCTCAGAAAAGGAGGGCAATTGGGGCCATTCTTTCCTCTGGAAAGCACAGCACTTGGTCCCTTCCCATTCCACAAAGCTGGGCTAGCCTGGCAGCTGATCTTGGACCCAGGTGCACACCCTGGAAGCAGAAGCCCCTTTCCATTGGCAAACACTTCGTTCTTTGGCTGGGATGCCTTCACTAGTCTGTCCCCGGGGCTGGGTTCCCTCATTATGTCTGGCTGGATGCTGTGTAGACGGGGTGGGACCTGACTCTGGGTCCAGGCTCAGTGTTCAGAAAGGCCAAGCTCTATTTTTGTCAACCTATGCACACGTGAACAATGGGTTTTCTTACTCAGGCAAACCCAACAAGAGGGGAAAATGGTGAGAAAACCCGAGCTTCCTCTGACTCATTCAGTCATCCAAGAGGAGGAGGTGGCAGGGGAGGCGGAGTCAAACCAGGTCTTTTTTTGACTTGGATGCGGGGAGGGCAAAGAGGGAAAACTCCCCTTTCCTTTACTCGGTAATGTTGGGGGTCTGCAAACTCCTGACAGGACCACGTCCTCTCCTACAAATGCCTCTGCCACCCTCCCCCAATCCCCCTCTCCTCAGACCAGACAGCCCACACCTCTGATTTTTAGGAGTGGACAGGAAAGCCGTGGTTCGCAAAGTACGCTGTACACCAGACTCACTTGAGGAACTTAAAAAATGTCAATGTCAACACCTGCATTGTGCCCCAGAGCAACTGAATCCAAATGTCTGGGGTGGGAGCCAGGGGTTAGCGGTTTTTAAAGATCCCCAGTGTTTCCAATGCAATAGTCTGGGAACTACTTTGCTGAAGGCTTGCTGACTACAGTGGGAGTTGGAGCAGTCACAGGTGGAGGCCTCCTTTGTCCATTCATTCATTCACTCATTCACTCCCAAATATTTAATGCAGATTTTCCATGGGTCAGACCCTGTTTTGAGTGTGGGAGACACGGCCGAGGTCAATAAACTCTGTTCTCATGGAGCTTACATTCTAGTGTGGGAAGTCAATGAACAAATAAATGGGCAAATGATATCCATGGCCCGTGCTATGAACACCAAAGCAGGGTGAGGGAGTGGAGGGATTTGGGGAGAGCTGGGGTCTATTTTCGCCCTGGATTTAGGTATCAGTTTTTGCTTCACGAGGGTGGCTGCACCCTCCCTGCTTGTAGTCCCAGACTTTATCCTGCTTTCTGGCTAAAACAGCTTTCACTGGACTCCTCAAGGCCCTAAGGCCTGCTAACCTCTTCCCCTTAAGCGATTTCTTTAGAGCAGGGGCCTCGGTCCTCTGGCACCACACCCTGGACTCTCCCTCCTCCCCGTCTGTCAACAGTAACAACGAACAGAGGCAAGGCAAGGCCACGGACCTGTCAGGGCCACTTCTGTGCACCGAGGGATTGTAGGCTTGTGGGGTGCAGGAGAGGTCATGGGGAACAGTGGGGAGAACTCTAAGATGCAGGTTCAGAGACCTGGACTTGAGGCGTGGCTCTGCCACTTACCGGCAAACGGGAGTCACTTTACCTCTCCAAGTGTGAGTTTCCTCTTCAGTCAAACGAAGAGAATGTAACCAAGTTTATAAAGCTGGGATATTCATTAAAGGAGGAAAGGTCAAAGACTTTTGTAAAGTGTTTACAAATATGAGAACTTGTTAGAAATTATTATCAGCTAGGCCTATAGAGACATGAATTAATGGTACATTAAAGCTGGAAGGGATCCCATTTTATGATTGGGAAACTGAGGCCTGGAGTGAAGAAATGACTAAGCCACAGTCACAAAGCTTATTAATGACAGAGGATTCACACTGACTCAACAAAGGGAAAGTGGTTGCTCTTTTAGTATCAAACATTTTGCTTCCTCTGTCCACTAGCCAAACTCCTACTCATCCTTCAAAACCCCACTCAGGTATGACCTGCCAGGTGAACCCTTCTCTGTCTCCTCCAGTGAGAGTAAATTACCCCTTGGCTTCATGATCTCCTTGCCTCAAGCACAAGCCCTGATATTGTAAAGGGCACACCGTATTGCTGGGATTAGCCCTCTACCATACTGCAATTCCTGAGAACAGAGTCCATGTCCCTGGGGTCTTTGGACTCCAGCTTCTACCATGTTTAGCACACAGCAAGCACTTGGGCAATGTCTGAGGCCCTTAATGGGACTGTGGATCACTCAAACGCAGACAATGGAGAACTGAGAGCCTGAAAGATTGTGAATTAGCAGGGATCTTTTCTGAAGTTCCTGAGATGGGCATTTCAAAGGAGAGGAACAAGGAAAAGAGGAAGAACGTTTTCAAGATACAGCTGTCATCTTTCCGGAACATATCAGACCTGCGCTGTGAAGAGACACCCCTCTGCCTAACAGAAGCCATGGACAGGGGCTCTGAAACCAAAGATCATTTCCCTACAGATTATTATTAGTAACAGCTACCAGTAATGGAAGCCTACTGTGTGCCAGTCACTTCATTTCTCCCATGTATTTTAATCCAGCTCTCTTGCAGGTAGATGTCACGACCCCTAAATCACAGATGAGGAAACCAAGGCTCATGAGGGGTAAGGACATGGCCTGGGCAGTGGAGCCAAGATTTGCACTGAGATCTGCTGGTCTATGCCCAGGACTCCATGATGCCTCTCATTGCAGAACCAGATGACTGACAGCAGCTGGAATCCTCTGCAAACCAGCAGGACGGTGAGCAAGTAAGGGCTTCACACTTCTCTCTGTCACCCTTGGGAAGGTGTCCACTTCCAGCTCAGCATTATTTTAGTCAGCTGCAGCCCACACCAGGCCTCTGCGATTCACCGGCGCCCTCCTCTGTAATACCTCCTGGGGAGTGTCCTACCACAGAGGATGTGGTGACAGCCTGCTGCCCCAGGGACTGCCTGAGAGCCAGGGAGCTGCGCACCCTTCTGGTATTGACTGGGTCACTGCCTCAAGCCCAAGGGGACACATCCTGGTACTTCCCTGGGTGCCACCAGATATGAGGAGCAGGGTGGGGCTGGGGCTCCAAGAGAATAGGGAGGGATTAAGTATTTGTTGCTTCCCAATGTGTTGTGTGGAACCCCCCCATCCTGCTCTGAAAGCTAGAAAGGGCTCTGTGGTCAAATCAGCTGGCAAAGTTCCCCTCTCCCCCTTGGGGGTGTCACGGGGCCCGCTGGCACGGGAGCAACCTGTCCAGCTTTGTGTTAACAGGGCTCCTTGGGGCTGCTCCGCTTTGCCCAGGACTCCTTCTCATTTAATGTCTAACAACACAAGGACTCAATACTGTGAGGGGCACCCTTGGGAAAACAATGTACCAGGCTCCCAACATGCACGCACACACACAATAATAAGATGTTGTTATCTTCATTTTAAAGATATTAATAGAAAACTACTACACAGCACTCCCTGCATACCAGACTCTGTTCTAAGTGCTTCACATGATATTAATGCATTTTGTCCTCATGACAACCCTATGAGGCAGATATTACCCCCATTTTCCAGATGAGGAAACTAGGGCTCAAAAAATTACTCAAGGCCTAAAAATGGAGAGCCGGGTTTCAAACCCAGGCGCTGGCCCCAGAGACTGTATCAAGCCATTGTTCTATGAAGAAAGGGAGCTTCAGATTTGTAAAATAACTTCCCCAAAGTAGCCACAATGAAACCAAGACCATTCATTCATTCATTCATTCACTAACTAGTTCATTTATTTACTCCAACAACATTCACTGAGTAGAAACTGCCAGCCAGGTACTGTGCCAGCTGCCCAGAGATGGAGGAGCAAGACGCAGTCCTGCCTGGAGCTGCTGGCCACCTGTCCAGGCCTCTGTCACACCAGGGCTGCCCTTCGTCCCACAGTGATGGTCACTTAGGTGTTCAACTAGGAGCCTTCCAGTCATTAGCACACGTGCTCACATGTGCATGCTGGGTATGTGAGGCCTACACCCAAGATGCTGGGCTCCAAATGCTCCCTCAGCTGCCCGGACAGCTCTGTGTCCTTGAGCAAGTGGCATTTCTATATGTACAGTGGGTTAGGGAGGACTGCACCCAGCTCTTCCAGTCCCAAGCCCAGGCTCCCTTCCCGGCCCCACAGCTTGGCAGGGGCCTGCTGCATTCTCTGCTGGGTCACCCCCACATACTCTGGATGGCAGCCAGCCCACCTACCCGTCTTCAGCTGCTCTCCAGCAGGGTATGGCCCAAGGCCCTCTGACCCTCACCAGGTCACTGCCCCCTCCTCACAGTCCTGTGGGCACTCCTGCATCCCTGTCATCACTCTAAGGGATGCTTGGGGCAGGGGGGTAGTTAATCTTGGGAATTTGGTTGGCTCTTGAGAGGAGAAAAACTCTGAGACAAGGATGGCAAGGGATGAAGACAACTTTACATTTTTTTTCAGGTCAGAAGGACACATACTGATGGACTTGTAAGCCACTATGCAAGCAAACACAGTCCCCCACAATTGTCTTCTAAATTATCTTAGTGATGCTGGAATGAATAAATACCCCAACCCTACAACCTGCAAGCCGTCCATAAATGACAGAAGCAGGGCTGGGTTCTCTGCACTATGGGAAGGCAGTGGTCAGTCAGGGAGGGAGCCCATCCTGCACATGATTCCTCAGGGCCCAGGGCCCAGGGCTCCCTTGGACCCGCCCAGGATGGGGCAGGCTGCCGGTGAATAAACAGGCTGCCACAGTGGCAAACAGGATGGGCTCGTCTTGGAGACTAGAGCTGGTCGCAGGCACACATACCTCCTTTGTGGTTCCCCTTCCAGGGCTGGACTCTGAAAAGGGAAACCAAAGGCGCCCGGCCCCAGGACACTGAGCCAGTGTTCCTCCTACTTAGAGGAAAACCACAACCCTGCAGAGGTCTGTGACCACAGCCTGCAGCCCAGCATTCTGAAAGAGCTGCTGTGTTCAGGTAGACACTGGAGAGGCCCTGAGCTGAGGAAGCCAGGGCAGGGGAGGGAGGGGCCGCTCCCAGGGTGTCTTAAAGAAGAAACCTTTCTTCCAGGCCAGGCCCCCTTCCATCCCCACTAGACCACAGGGCCACATTCCCTGGAATGAGGTGTGCTGGTGCCTGGGCAGCCCAAGTTTAAGCCCCAGCTCTGCAACTTTCTTCTCTTAGCTTGCATGCAATAGGCTCTCATTATTCACAGTAGCTGTATGAACACTGGTCAGTGAATACGGAACCATTGCTCCTGGGGGTTAAGTTCCCACAAGCCTCTAATCATGTTTTCCTCAACCAATCAATACATAACTTGCTTTACACACATTTGTTTCAAAGCATGTTATTTAATACAGGTTGTTGGTCCATTAACATTGAACTCAGCATTATAATTCATGCCTGAACCCAGCTTATCTAGCGCACATTTTCTCCGTGAAGCACATCACAGCTCTCTCGCACTTAGGAACAGCACTTCAGCACTACATTTGGGGGTCATTTTAAACAGCAAAAATCACCAACAAAAAGCCTCCAAATGCAAAAACATGGCACTTAAAAAATGCTAAAAGGACAGTGGTTTATAGTATGAGTTGAAACAAGAAGGCAGAGTAATGTCTCATTCAATTCAAATTTTCATCACACCAGCATGTCTGCAAATGATCATGAAAATGATGCCAGTATTGATCTTGGGGTCACAAATAAATTTTAGCAAGTAGGCAAATTTGCAAATACAGAATCTGAAAAAAATGAGGATTAGCTGTATCTGTGTGAGAGGGTCAAGGGGGTTCATGAAATCATGTGTGAAGAATGCTTAGTGTAGCAGAAGCTCCCTGCATATTCTTATTGTTACTTCTTCTAGTTGCTGCACATGCCACCTGAACCTTCACCACTCCCTCTGCTTGGAATGTCTTTCCTTGTACTTTTTCCATCTAGTGGAGCCCAGAGCCCAGGGAGCTCCTCTAGCTCATGGCTTTAAATCCTATCAAATGCTGATGCTTCCCAGGTGTTTCTGTTGGGCCTGGCCCTCTTGACGTCCAGACTATTGCCAGCCAATTGCCTGCGGAAGAAGTTTACTGAGGGATGTCCTATGGCTCAGCCTTGTGCGGGGAGGTAGGGAGGGGCAGAGGGAGAGACAGGCTGCGATGCAGCATCACGAGGCCTCAGCTGGTCCCATGGGTGCTCTGGAGCCAGAACGGCCCTCCAGAGTTGTCCCAAAAAGAGGCAAGGGGTCAAAACCCTTGTATTCCCACATGGACCAGACATGGGATTCAGGCCACCCCCAGGAAGGATCTGGAACCTCGGGTCAGGCAGCCCCTGGCCCCTGGGAGGGTCAGCTGCAGCCCAGCACAGATGGGAGAATGAGGGTCTCCCTCAAGCAGCTCTGGATACCCACCACAGAATATGGGTATCTTCAACTCAACCTCCGGTAGGCACCTCAAAAAACATGTCCATGACTCAACTGCTGAATTTCCCCCCAAAACTGCTGCCTCCCTCAGACCCCAACCCTACCCAGCTCAGCAAATGGCGTCAACATGTGACCAGGAGCTAAGATGATGAACCTCGGGCTAGTCCTTGATGACTCTCTTTCCTCCACCCCACGTAGGCAAGTCCCTCTAGCAGCAGCCGGGCCACCTCCTCTTTCCGTATGCCCGCACCATCCCTGGCCAAGCTGCCGCCCTCCCTTCCCCGGGTGGGTGCACAGCCACTTAACTGGCTGTCCTGATTCCAGCATCTGCACGCACATGTCTCGGCACTCTTTAAGACACCAAGCAGGTCTTGTCCACTTTCCAACGGAAAACCATCGCCTGGCCTCATGACAGGCAGGATAAACCCAAACGTGTCCATGTCGCTGAGGCCCCCACCCTCCTTTGGCCTCCTCTCTCCATCGCTCGGCAGCCACGGAGGCCTTCTTGCCGCTCTCAAGGTAACCAAGCTCTTTCCGCCCTCAAAGCCTTCATTCTTTTCTGTGTTTTGCTCTATCCCCCCTTCACCTGCCCCCATTCTTCACTTCTGACAGCTCTGCTCCTTCACCTCCTGAGAGAGGCCTTCCAGGGACCCCCCGTGACCCTCCAGGCTTCACTCTGATTTATTTTCTTCAAAGTGCCCTTCTCTGTCTGCACTTACATTTCTGACTAGCTCTCCTGGCTAGGACTTGCCTTGTCCCTCAGAATAGATGTTCTCCAAGGGAAAGGGCCTGTCTTTCTGCTGGTAGTTGGATCTCTGGTGCTCCGCACATCATGTGGGATGAGCTCATGGCTGAGCCTCGTGGGTCAACTGGGATAGATCCTGTGGCAGGTGTGAGTGCTGGAGATGAAGACTGTTGGGTGCTTTTATGGTCACCACAACTCAGCTCCTACTCTGGCACGGCCAACTCTCTGCACCTGCCCTGATCCCCCAGGGCAGAATCAGCTGCTTCCTCACCAAGTTCCCGCCACAGTGTACAGCAGGGACATTTAACACGAGGCACTGCGCAGTGGAACTTCATGTGTCTGCCTCCCCATGGCCAAGCTCCTCCAGGCTGGGCCACATCATATCTCCACCCACCCTGTCCCCGGCACAGCTCCAGCCTCTCCCAGGGTGGTGCTCAGCCAAGGTCTGGGGAATTGACTTCAGGTGACTGGACTCTTTCCTGCTGCATGACTCAGTATTTGAAGCCACCTCACCACCTGATAGGCCTACCTGCTGTTGGACACAAGTCCAGGCCCAGCCTGCAGGGCTTGCGGCCAACTTAGGTTCAGGCAAGGGGTTCACCAGCTGGACAGTAACAGAGTGGTGACTGTCCTCCTCACACCTGGCACCAAGAGCACGTGTCGCTGCTTCTGCGAACACCAGACTGTCGCCCAGCACCTCTAGCCTGGCTCGTGGCTCCTCATCGGTTCCTGTCAAAGCCTGCTCAGGGCGGGACTGCGGACAAGGCCACCTCTCCCCTTTCCAGGCTCCACCTCTCACCCGCTGGGTGACGTTGGGCAGCCCCATCAACAGCTGAGCCTTGGTTCCATTAGCTGTAAAATGGGGACAATCTCTCTCTAATGAGTATCTCTCGTGGGACTTGAATGGGGTAAAGTCTCTGCAGTGCTTGGTCCCCATGACCTCAGTATACGTATGCTGTTATTACTACTCTGGCATTGAGTTAAGTGTCTAAATATCCCATCCTGGACATTTTTAAAAAACTCCCATTTCCCGCAGACATACTTTTTTTCACATGATTTTAAAACACCTGTACTACAGCTTTTAAGAAGGACTAATAGAAATCTGAAGAGTTTCTGTACTTAAAAAGAATAAAACTGATTTAAAAAATAAAACTTCTATAGGACACTTCATCTACTGTGTGGCCCACTGTCTCCTCTATCATGACCCTGGGATATCAAACAACAGAGAATCCGTCTCCCTTCCAGGAATAAAGGCGCCAAGTGGGTAGACCAGAAAGCCAGGAGAGGGCTGGTGTCTGTGGCTTTGGGGGCTGGGTCTCCACAGCTGCCCTCACCAGGCAGGTGAGTGAGGATGCCAGGGGCGCTTTCCAAATCTGGGAGGCCGACTGACTCCTCTTGGATTCTGATGCCCCAGAGAAGTCCCAGTCACTTTGGCCAGTGGTAGTGGTAACATGGACTCATGTGAGGTCCCAGGAGCCTGCAAGGGCATCTCTCCCTCTGTGTCAGCCACGTGGCGTAGCTGAATGAGCTTTCAGGCAGTGGGGTGGCCATCTGAATCCCAGAGCTCCCTCTTAGCCCATATGCCAGCTCAGGTAAAACCGCTTCTCCCACTTGGTCTCCATTCTCTCACCTAAGAGTTGTTGAGAAGATCAACTGAGAAGACATTTGTTTAGCTTTTAGTTGGACCTGGTAGTTGCTATTAATGTTACTATGCTAGACTGGCTTACAGATGCACATGCAGAAGTCAGAATACTAAGAATTCACTCCTTTTTGTAATGTCTCAGGAGAGGCTTTTCTTTATATCCCAGGTCAAAATTATTTCATTTTTCTTTCTCCTAGTTCTCACCTAGCTTTCTCACACAGTCACCATTCCATTTGGAATTGCCTGTTTGTATGGTTACTGACGGCCTGGTTACCCTCCCCAGAATGAGAGCTCTAGGAGGGAGCATTTGATGCCAGAGTTCAGCACAGCACCTGGCCCCCATGAGCACTAACTATTAGGTGAGCTGATGAATGACTGTATCAGGTGCACAGCACCTACCAGCTCCATGCTAGGCACTACGAGCATACCACTGTATACGTCTAATGCCCATGATGATCCTGAGGTAATAAAAATAAAATGTAACACTTATAAGGGACTTGCTTTGCGCCAGGCACTGTTCTAGGAGCTCTGCAAATATTAGCTCTGTGACCCTTCATGGTCCCACGAGGTACAGGTCTACACATTGGGATTTTCTGTGAAGCTAATGAAGTTTAAACTTCTAGGGCCCTCACGTGCTCAGGAGGGGCCCTGGCAGTGTGTTCATGTGGTCAAGTGTTTTGTTAAATTTGTAAAAGTAAGAGGCACTGAAATCCTTTACCTTAAATATGACTCCATTCCTTGCAGGAGCTTCGGGCCCTACCAAATCTGGACCCACCAGAGTAGGCACTACTCTCCACACCTCACAGATTAGATGGGTGAAGCTCAAGAGGATTAAGTCACCTGCCAGGGCAGTCAGAGCCAGGGTTTGGATGCAGGCCTGCCTGAATGCAGACCCCCTTCCTCTGTGCCACTGACTTCTCAAGTCTAGGGAAAGGAGCCCTGGACAGCGGTGACACATGGCTGCCCGAGGGCAGCTTTGCAGCTGTGGGTCCTGAGCAAAGGAAAGGAGGCAGGGAAGGAGGGAAAGAGAAGCTCTGATCAGAAGGGTCCCAGGTGCAGAACCCAGAGCCCTGAGCCCCACCCACTTGGCCTTGGAATCCTGATTAATCTGGCCAATGCTTCCTCCACCCACCCTCCATGACCCACATCTACTGCTACCTTTCCAACTCCTGAAAGCACGGAGCAGACACTGCAATGAGCAAGCTCAGCTCACCCCAGATAAACCTGCTCCCTGTCCCTTCCCCTTCCCGTGGCCCTCTGTTGGCCCTGCAGGGCCCAGCCCGTCTCTCAAACCAGGCTAGGGCAAACAAGGGCTGGCCCACTCTGCTCTCAAGGGCAGCCCTCCCCTTGCTGTTTTGCAAAGGCTGGTTTCAGCTGCTGGGCATTCAGTTACCTTCATTAGAATGGGCCCCGAGCTGGCCAGGCACTGGTGGCTCAGGGCAGATTCTATCACAGCGGGAATGAAAGAAGAGAAAGAGCAGTAATGCAGCTGCCTGTCCACAGGCCATGGAGAAGGAGAGGGGCACGCAGCACCGGGAGGGGAGCACAGTGCTGCCAGGCCAGGCCCTCCACAGACTCAACAGGCCTCACTCAGCCCCTTAGTCCTCAGAGCAGTGGGAGAAGGGAGAGGGACTGCAGAGCCCATTCTGGGGTGAGCAGCAGACAGATGCTGGGCAAGACTCCCAGTCCCTTCAGATTCAGAGAAGTGAATTCAATCACAGAGAGAGGGAGAGAGAGAGAGACCGGGGGTGGGGGTGGGGAGGAGGGGCCCCAGGAAGAGACAGCTTTCCAAATGCCAGAAAGCTAGAGGCAGGCCTACCCTTGAGGGACACCTGGCCTCAACTCCTCCCCAAGGAGGTGACCTTGCTGACACAAGGACCCGGGGCCCTGGTATTTGAACACATTCTCTTAAGCCAAAATGCAAAGATGTTAAGTGTAATACCATCTAGAAAATGAAGCTAGGCTTTGAGTGTAAATGGACACTGGCATAATAAACACGGAACTTTCAAGATTGAGGGTAGCAGTGTCCCCAGCAGTCTCTGCCCCATGAGGGACTTTTGGGACACAGGGAAGCTGAGCCACTTTGGCCCTGTATGGCCACCTGGTTTCAGAGACCCTGCCTTCTTAGCTAAGGGAACTGGGAATTTATCCCAACCCAAGAGTGTATAACAGGTGGAGGGCTGGGGAGGGTCTTTCTCCCTGATGTATCGGCAGAGCTGTGAAAGCTGTAGTCACCCGGGTGGGGTTAAGTGGGACCAAGGGTAGAAACCTCAGCCAACTTTGCTCCTTAGTGACTGTGTGACCCTGGGAAAGTCTTCACCTCTGTCAGTGAAACTTTCTCAGCCTGTAAAATGGGCACAATAATAGGGAACATTTATACAGACCTCACTGTGTGCTAGTTTAGTGATCTAAACATTTTATTTATACTAACACACCTGATCCTCACAACAGCTCAGGAGGGAGGCATCACCACCCTCACCCTATAGGTAAGACAGCTAAGGCACCAATAGGTGCAGAAACATCCAGAAGGCACATGACTAGCAGAGGTGGACTTGGGTCCCAGGCGGTCTGCTTATCCATGACAGGACACCACATCTGTCCCCTTCATCTGGGACCCACTGTTGTCAGAGATGCCAAATAAGTGATGCTTTAAATGAGGATAGATTTGTCAGGAGCTGGGATCCCTGAGTGGTGAATTTTGATGCAGGGGAGCTTAGGCCCAGTGCACAAGTCTGGGGCTTTGGGACAAGTGGGGAGAGTCCACACAGTGACTCCAGAACTTGGTCAAATGAGCTTCGTAAGGATGCAGCTCCTCGGGGCCACCTCAGATACTGAGTCAGTCGATGGGGCCATGGGATCTGCATTTCACTGGGAAACACTGGCTGCGGGTGAGGCCTTGGGCACTACGTCCAATTTCTTCCTGGCTACAGTAGTCATAGGAGACAGGAGGCAGACCTCAGACCCCACAGCCAGCGAAGCCTTGGGAAAGTCCTTGACCCTCTGTGGCCTCAGTTTCCCCATCTGAAAGATGACACGTTGCACTGTCTCCACGGGCTCTGCCCTCTGAGACACTGTGGTTCTGAGCCTGTCGGAGCCCTGGCTCAGGATACTCAGACTCACGCCCGCTGGTGCTCTGCCCTCTGTAATGGGGCAGCACAGCTGATGTTTCCCTTTGATTCTGGGCTCCCAGAGGGAGGAATAAAAATAAAATAACCATGACAATAACAGCTGCTCTATCATGAGTGGGCCCACATGGTGGGAAGAGTGCCACCAACTGTGGCCAGCGCAGCCGGCTTCTGCTGTTTAGTCAGCTCAGGAAGGCTGGGAGCGCCCCCAAGGCCAGTGCAGGCCTTCTCACTGCCACCAAACACACACCTGGGACCGCATGCCATCTGGCCGAGGAGAGAGGGACGTGCTGCTGCCTCTGGCGCTGGGGTTCGGGGTGCTCCTGTGGCAGAGGTCTGAGAAGCCCGGGCCTCCAGCGTCCCTGCTACGTGATGCTGAGAGCCCTCAGCAGCCCAACTAATTCCGATCTAGTGCCCAGCACCTGCCGGGCACTGCTTGGGGCTCTGTCACCTTTTCTACGTCACTTGGTCTGCTCACCATCCTGAAGCAGGGAAGTGCTGTTGTGCCCAGTTTGCGGATAAGGGAACTGGGGCCCAGAGAGGCAGAAGGATCAGTGTGAGGCAGCCCAGCTGCCAAGTGTCAGGGCTGGGGCTCAGACCCCACACGCCTGGACTCCCTGCTTCTTCATTAAGTGGAGTCTCCCAGGAGGTTCTCACTGCCTAACGGCATGAGGTGCAGGTGCTTACAATGTGTTACAGCCTCCTGGCTGTGCTAGATTAAGCTTTACTGGCTTCAGGGACAGTTTGCTGGAGTCTTGAGCCAGCAGCCAGCAAAGTAAAAGCGGAGCAGAGGTTGCCTACGGATCAGAACCCAGCCCAGGTTTCAGCTTGGTGACCAAGGCCGAGGCCTAGGTCCAGGAAGGAACATTTTCAAAGAGATGGTGTGGAGACAGCAATTCTAAGAGTTCAGACACTAACTGGGAGTTGGTGTCAGGAAGCTAAGTCCTGGGTCAGGCTTTGCAAGCAGCCAGCTCTGGGATGCTGGGGGAGTGCCTGGTTTACCCCATGCCTCCCTGGGCAGTTCCAAGACCTTAAATGCTTCCCTGTTCACTTCCAAGCAGATACTCCTGGCCTGCACTAATTTTCACCCATCTGTGCACTGGCTAACAGCCACCTTAACCTTATCCCCTTCCTGTCACCAAGTACAAACACAAACAATAAAATATCTCATTAGCAGAGCGGTATGACCAAGAACAGCAATTCCCAAACTTCTCTGCAGTTAAAGTCACCCAAGGAGCTTCTAGAATGCTCCACATCCAAACTCCAGATCAGTTAAATCTGGACCTGGGCAGGGACTGGGCATCAGTAATTTTGAAGTTACCCAGATGACCCCAATGTGCAGCCAAGGTCAAGGCCCAGTGACCTGCGGGAGTGTGGCTCAGACTCCAGGGAGCCTGCAGTGCATCCCTAGGATCTTCAAATGCCGATTCTGATTCAGGCGGCCTGGGCTCAGTTCAGATC